ATCTGACCAGTGTACGGGTAGTTATGCAGAAGGCAGCCGAAGACGACTTGATTTTACACCAGATGGCTGTGAAGACAGCCTACCTGCACGCACCCATTGATAGGGACATATATATGAAAGAACCTGAAGGTTACGAGAAGAAAGGAGGAGAGAAGCTAGTGTGCAAGCTAGAAAAATCCATTTACGGCCTGAAACAGTCTGGGCGAAATTGGAACGAGATGCTATGACCAAGCCTATCTCCAAACTGAAATTGAAAAAATGTTCGGTGTGTAAAATATTGCCTATTATGTAATATTGACTGCCATGTTCTTTTGATGTTTTGAACTGTTATTTTTCTTGGAAAAGTTGTACAGTATACACGTCATTCATAAGTGGGAGTGTTAAGTGTAAGTATTAATATGTCTGCATGTAACTGCACTATAACTGTTCCACAGTAAGAGGGCGCTATAGGCGTAAGGAGGCGCAGCTAGTGTAGCTGACGTCATGTATCAGATATAACATTACATTACATTACATTGCATTTAGCTGACGCTTTTATCCAAAGCGACTTACAATAAGTGCGTTCGACCAACAAAATACAAACTTGAAGAAAACAGAATCATATAAGTACATCAGGTTTCATAGAGCCAAACATTTAAAGTGCTACTCAACTGGCTTTAGATAAGCCAGTCCTTTATTAGTATAAAAGTGCTTCGTTAATAGTTCTATCGCTCGAAGTGGAGTCGAAAGAGATGAGTTTTCAGTTTGCGCCGGAAGATGTGCAAGCTATCTGCCGTCCTGATGTCAATGGGGAGCTCATTCCACCATCCTGGAGCCAGGACAGCAAACCCACGTGTTTTTGCTGATGGGAACTTGGGTCCCCCTCGCAGCGAGGGTGCAGCGAGTCGTTTGGCTGATGCAGAGCGTAGTGCACACGTTGGGGTGTACGGTTTAACCATGTCCTGGATGTAGGAAGGGCCAGATCCATTCGCAGCATGGTAAGCAAGTACCAGTGTCTTGAAGTGGATTCTAGCAGTTACCGGAAGGTTGAAGACCAGACGAGCCGCTGCATTCTGGATGAGCTGCAGAGGTCGGATGGCACATGCAGGTAGACCAGCCAGGAGGGAGTTGCAGTAGTCTAGGCGTGAGATGACGAGAGCCTGGACCAGAACCTGAGTCGCTTTCTGTGTCAGCTGGGGACGTATCTTCCTGATGTTGTAAAGCGTGTATCTGTATATAAGGGATTGTTCCCTCCCCTTCTAGCTCTCTCTCTCGCTAGCTCTCATGGAGAGCAGGTCAAGTGGTGCAATGCACATATGAAAATAAAACACGCCAGTTAAGGCTAAAGAAGACCTCGTCGTCATGACCAGTTTATTGCTATACATGTGACTCTGTCAACAGTGTGCTAAAACACTTCCTGGTTTAGCTTTCCGCTGGAAATTAAAATCTAAAAATGGCAAAAGAACAGCGAAAAAAACGTTCACAGAGAAGACGACAACAATTGTCTCTTGCACAAAGCAAGGTTGGACAAAAAACAAATGACCCTGACCATGAAATACCTTCACGGAGTGCGTAGAAGCTTTCATCCAAAGAACAGGAGGGTTTAGGTAGCGCCGCACAGCAATCTTTAAAGGTTGTTTTTTCAAAATGATTTTTTTCTCTTATTCTGAGTGAGAGATTTCCACTTCAGTAGCACTTACATACACCAATATTCTGAAGGTTTATAGAGAAGGCTTTGTTCATATATCATTCATAGCCTGAATTATATAAAATTGTATAGCTAAAAACATGGCGAAAATTGATATTTTAGGGCTGTTTAGACCCTCCAGAAAAACGCGGGCCAAAATCCTTGATTATGCGGGCTAAAATCCTTGATTATGCGATCAAACATGCGGGGTTTTATGTGATTTTATGCGGTGAAATTGCGGGAAGTTGCGGAAAGTTGCGAAATATGCGGAAAGTTGCAAAATATGCGGAAACAATAAATATTGGGCTGCCTTATTTATTTATTCTCTCTCACACACAACCTACCACTAACGTTAAACCCCTTTACTATTCAATTAAACACATTCAATGTTTATTTATTGTAAAAGCAATTGGGCTATTTTACACACACACACACACACACACACACACACACACACACACACACACACACACACACACACACACACACACACACACACACACACACACACACACACACACACACACACACACACACACACACACACACACACACACACACACACACACACACACACACACACACACACACACACACACACACACACACACACACACACACACACACACTTCTCCGCCTCATTCTGTTTTTCATTTACTTGTTCGTTATCTGACCAGCTTCAATCTTGTTGGCTTCTCACTTCGTTTCTTGTAGCCCTCGAAAGGGTTTTGGAGGTTGATGCCTCGGTGAACGTGAGTTGTTTGGCTTTCTTGTCCGCAGCAGCAGAAAGCATTTTCGAATGTTTGAATGAATCAAAGTGGGTTGTCACCGTCGATGTTCTCTTATGCTCCAACCTATGGCTCCAACACAGTTGCACGGGGTGCAGAATAGTTTCCCCCCACTTTCGTGCAAGACATCGGGGAACTGCTTTGCCCGGTCTTTAGCAGAAATGTTCGTCGGTAAATGAGATGGATTAGATTTGTTCATCTTGGTGTTTTCTCTCTCGTGTGAGCTCCACACGTTCACTCTACGGTGTTGTTTACCTTCTGTGATGCGCGAGCTGATGACGTTGCGTCATCATCATCATCACTTCACGTCAAGACGAGTTAACTATTTTTTTTCTCAACTTTGTGTGAAAAAATGCGGGGATTAAGCGGCCTTTTGATAAATATGCGGCCTTTTAAAAATCTGCGCCATTTTGCTGATTATGCGGTAAATTCTGCGATCGCAGAATCGCATTTTTCTGGAGGGTCTAGCTGTTGACAGTATTTTCTGATTTATGGAGTGATAAAAAGAGATATCCAAAATCCCTTCGGTAAAAACTTTAGATTCTAATATGACTACATTCTAGTATGTGCAGGATGGTTTGTATACCGCGTATCATGTATATTGTGTATAGTATGATGCTCTACCTCTGTGATGTTCCCTTTCCCTTTTCTGTTCTTGTCCTGTCTCTGGTGTAGTTTGCTGTGGTACTTCCGTATTTTGATATGTGATACATTTAGCAGGCTGTGTTGGTATGTATGTATGTATGTTTTTCTTTAAAAAAAAAACAATAATAAGAAAATAGCACAAAAAAATGAAAATAAAAATCCAACATGGCACATAAGTATTTTGCCATTCCAACATTTGGAGAAAGGACAAGCAACACAAGTGGTTATAATTATACTCATTCACACATTAAGCAAACAAATATGATTGTGACCACATTTGGTCCTCTCCCAGGGCTCACCCTCACACAGAGTTAAGTTTGGTCCAGTGCTCTGCCTGAGAGTCACCCTCACACAGAGTTAAAGGAGACATGTCATGCTGTTCCGGTTATTACCCGTCCCCTTGTGTGTTATGAAGGTTTTTATGCATGTAAACGGTCTGCAGAGTCAAAAACCCTCAAAGTACACCCTGTAGGGATTAAAACTCTAACACAGACCTCCCCAAAACGCCTCGTTGGAGATTTCTCATGTTCTTCCTGGGCATTGTGACGTCTGAATACCCAGTAGCCACGCCCAGAGCTATGACCAGGCTGATTGGTCCAAATTAACCAATCCACGCACGCACGCACGCACGCACGCACGCACGCACGCACGCACGCGTGTGTGTGCTCAGGGTGAGTTTGGCTGTGTTTTGCTGTGTATCGCTAAAAAAGGAAACAACACCTCCACGGAGCTCAGTGCGATTCACAACGTCCCGACCAATCAGAGCACACTGTGCTCACAGGGAGGGTGGGGCTGGAGCTATTGGAGCTACAACGAGCCGTTAAAGGCAGAGTGAAATTCAGTGAATACACGTAGTTTACAGAGATGCTGTTTGAGAAATCAATGTGAGTTTGGAAAATTGCACAATATAAATCTATTCTAGTAGACCTCAACAATGGAATTATGATCAGTGGAAATGGCCATGACATGTCTCCTTTAAGTCTGGCCCAGTGCTGTCAGATACCTCATTCACACCAACGCAACTCCGGTTCAAACTCCGTGCTAGAGCTTTTTAGGTTCAGAACCGGTTCTTCGGTTTAGCTCCGGCTCTTTTCACACCGCCCAGAGTCCGACTGGTGCTGCGTCATTGCGTCATCGTTTACGTCATGACGTAACTGTTTGCGTGCCTGCTTCATAAAGCCAAACCGCGCAGAAACCCCTCACAGCTGACACCGACAACAACAACAATGGCCGATTGTGCTCCAGCTTTCTCTGTACCTCTTCGGAAGACCAGATTCCCAGTAGGTAGCTGGTCTCTTCAGTGGACCACTGCTGCTTGTTACGTTTCTCCATCGTTGTGTACAAACTGGATAAAACGCCGGCTTTTTGTTGTTGTTCAGGAGTTGATCCCGCCCCTGCCCCCGCCTCGACGTAAGCGTGACGTATGCGGTGCTTTTGCTCTAGCCGGACAATTTTTTGGTGCTTGAAACGAACCGGATTCCGGAGCTTAGAGGCTGCTCCGCTGCGGTGTGAACAGGAAAACCCGGTGCTTTTCAAGCTCCAGCTCCGAACCAGCCCTGAAACACAGTTGGTGTGAATGAGGTATGAGAGTCACCCTCACACAGAGTTAAGTCTGGCCCAGTGCTCAGCATGCTTCTTCTTGAGGGGAGCAAAGGTTTCAGGTTTTGAAGTTATTCAGACCACCTGCTATTTTCCAAACGGCTGCAGAGTTGAGTTAGGCTAGGAAGCAATCCGTGGTGGTGAGGCTGACACACTGTCTCATACTAGAGAGAATAACCGACTGAAAAGGGTGGATTATTATCAGAGTTTACCATTTGAGGACATTTGAACTTGGATTGAATATGAAAAATCACCACATACTCCACATGGGAAAAAGCAAAATCTCTTTTGTTTCTACTCACTGGAGCTGTTGCGTTGCAGAGAAGCTGTCCCATTGGTCCCGTTGACTCCATTCTTTTTGAGCTGGTTCTTTGGCTCTGCCTTGTGTTTTGATACCCCCCCATTGGGCCCAGTTCCCTTCTTTCCTTTCAGCTGATGGGAGAAGAACCAAAGGGAAGGAGACTTTTTAAATAAAAAAAAAATAGAACACAGCATGGCGGTCGATATTGTGCGCTTCATATCTGCAATTTTAGTGTTGCATCTTTGGGTTCACTCATTCTAGACCTCTCAAATATCTCAGAAAAATTAAAACTGCACTGTATAAAGGTCAGCACTAAGAAATTATGGACAGGGCGGTACCAATTTCCAAGATTTCACTATTGCCCAACCAATATTTTATTTTTCTAAGGAGAGTGTGTAACACACTCTTTCATGTATTTCCTTTATTTTTCGCTCTTATCTGTCAGAAAGCAAAACAGGTGCATGTGTTGAGTTCTACACAGACTATCTTTGTGATGAAATGTATGTCACTGAGTATGTCTTGCTGAAGAGGAAAGAGTAATAGCATGATATTTAAAAAATAAACAAAATCTCCTCTCCATTTTGTCCAAGCAACAGTAATGTGAAGCTTGGCAGTGCGGCCAGAAGCCTGCCTTCACCTCTGGGGATGAACATCTACTTGTTATAGATCGGTGGGACTCTGTGGTCTTATGTCTGTGTTAACACCCTCTGCCACGCCACACACAGTACACACACAGCACACACGCCACACACACAGCACACACACCAGAGCTGGCGGTGGGGGAGGCGGAGCTCCACTCAACACAATGTGGCGACATAAGTGAAGTGAGGCAGGGTGGCACTTACAGCAGGGCCATACAAATATGAATGCATACAGCTGATGTTCACTGCAAGGGAGAAGAAGGAATTACACTGAGGACAACCACACACAGTCCAAACGTACAGACTGTTGTACCTAGTATAGACCAATACATTAGAGATGTTAAGATTCACCGATTCGCATCGGTGCACCGGCATAAACGTTCAAGATGCGAGTGCACCGGTTGAAAGAGTGCACATCGGCTACAGTTTGGGTTGAACCGGGTTGAACTTGCGATGCATCGATTGCGTAGCGTCTTTGCATCGGTAAAAAAACGATTCATTCATATAAAATTCCCTCATCTTGTCAACGCTCAGCAGAGACGATCTTTGATATTTGCTTTGCCACTACGGAGGCCGAGAGTCTCAGTTATCAACACACACGGAAGTTGAGGAGAAAGAGAAACACAGCGCACCGAAAAATACCTACAAATCAAACGTTTGGCAACACTTCGGATTGTTCAAGAAAGACGGTGTAATAGTCCTTTATGCTATATAGTTGACCGCAGGTCATGGAGAGTAATAAGGTATCCGTAGACCTTTGTATGAGGTATCTTTATTACTTAACAGGTCTACAGCCATGATACATAGATCCGTCCTAGATGCGGGCTTGCATACACACAGTATCACTCCGCAGCCGCACCCCATCAGTAACGTCCTGATGGTATATGTGCGCGGCACTATATACTACAGACGGTCAACTTGAAAAATCGCTCGCAAATTGTTAACGATGCCGAGCCGCTTTAAAGTCCACAAGTAGTACGAGGAACTTAGCGACGCACATAAAGAGGCGACATGGCGTCTGCGTCTGAAAAGAGAAACCTGAAAGTTAGACATATGAGTGAAATCACTCAGTGAGGTGTTCTGTCAGAGAGAGAGGTGTTTAGTTTACAGCAGCCTGTGACGGCCAATAATAATTTAAATGTCTTCCTTACTGTAAGCAGTTATGAAATACCTGTTTGTGAAAGGTTCTTTGTATTCTTTATTGTTCCTATAGAAACCACTGCTTTCTGCTCACTGGTGAGTTAGCCTATGAATGAGTGTCAAGCACATCAGGCTGGCAGCTGTATGGGCATGGCACTATGGTAGCTGTTATTTTCACATTGTTAATCATGAGCAATGCATCCTTACATTGTTGGATGTAGACTGTGAGGTGTTATAGAATTGTACTTTATTCTGGAGAGCTTTTAAAGGTAAAAAAATAAACGGCATGATGGGATGTGCAGTACCAAATATGTAAAGCACTTTTTTGTTAATTTATGATTTGCTGCATATAAGGAATAAAACAAAAATCCTCTGTCGTACCATATTGAAGTATCATTATTTTTGCATCGTGTTGAATCGCATCGTATCGCACCGAATCGCATAATGTTGAATCAAATCGTATCGAACAGGGGTGAATCGTATCGTATCGCATCGCCTAGTGTTTCAAATGTATCGTTAATGTATCGTATCGTGGCAACGTATCGAGATGCGCATCGCATCGGCCTCAGTGATGGAGATGCACATCCCTACAATACATATTCTACTCATGCTGTAGATGAACTACACCCAAAACACAACGTTAAAAATAGGAGGATCCTGCCTGATCGACCTGAGCTGCTGATCCTGAATTAGGTGTGTTGCAGCACAATGTTGCCTAAAGCTACCCTCGTGTTCGCTTTTTTTCTGGGATTAATTGTCAGCCCGCATGTTGACAAAGCTGACGGATTGCCTCCCAGCGATGTCTCTGTTCACTTCGGACATTCGGATGTTGGAACCTCTGGAGCGCTGACTCCATCGGATAGTTTTTACCAAATGCTGACGTTTTATGGCACGAAATGCGCTCTCCCGTATTTTGACTCTTGACTCGCTAATATCGAAGGATCGGAGCCCATGGGAAAAAATCATCTTCCAGACTGTTAATATTGTTACTGCTTTTACTCTCTGGTAACATTAACATTAACCCTGGTCCTGAGTGTTTCTCTGCTTCCTTGCAGCATTTGCCAACTCCGAATGAGTTTAGCTGTAGGCAAGGATTGGGTTTTCTGCATGTTAATGCTAGAAGCCTAATGCCCAAATGAGATGTTTTCAAGACCTGGTTTTTAGTTGCTCAGCCTGATATTGTTGTAGTTTCTGAAACCTGGTTAAATGCGTCTGTCACTGACACTGTTATACACATTGATGGATATAATGTGTTCAGAGCAGATCGTAAGGGCAGAAACTACAGTGTCCTTCATTCGAGTTCAATTCCAAGGCAATTTGAGTTGCTAGCTGTCCAAATAACTATAGCAAATGCTCCTCTCACTGATGCAATCATTGATGCAACTACTAGCCTTACTGAGTTGTTGTCTAAGTTTTCTTCTGAAATCATATTATTGGGTGATTTAAATTGGGACTGGTTGAGTGATACATCTTCACAGTTTAAGCAGGTTTGTGATTCTTTGAACTTAACTCAGCTTATTGATAGTCCCACTAGAATAAACCCTGCCAAACCCAATAACGATACCCTTATAGACAGGGGTGCACATCACTTTTTTGCCCTGGTTCTCAAAGGAGCACCTGGAGATAGGGCTGTGCGATTATGGCAAAAATCATAATCACGATTATTTGGTCAATAATTGATATCACGATTATTTTGACGATTATTCATTGACCATTTATTGAACTTTAAAACAAATAATATTTTACCAATAAACAAGATCAATAAATGTGTTGGAGCGCACTTCCAAAACCATACTAAACATATATTATTAATATGATAAATAAAAATAAATTAGACCAAAATAAATGAAATCCAATATGTTGCAGTGCACTGTCACAACCTACTGAAAACTCCTTAACATATAGCCAACATTTTGGTAAAACATATTCATTATTCCACTCAGTTAAACGTTGAAGGCTGGCCAACCGTCATGGTCCAGAAGTAACAGGAAATAAATGTTGAACTACAATTTAAGACCAAATAAAAATGTTTAGGCCACCATGGCAAATGCTGGTAGGGCTGCTCATGTCATCTCTTAAAGATTTTTTGCAAGAAATACCAGCCTGTTTACATGGTCTGGTTTCAGAGATGAGCGCAGGCAGGTGACAATATTGCCACCTGTACTGAAGACCCTCTCTGAAGAGGAACTTGTGGCAGTGCTGCCACATATGACACAGGAAAAAAAGAAAAGACTCTGAAGAACCCTTTCTTTGCCATTATATAAAAATAGTGTTGCTACAAAAGTATAAATTAGGCTTACTAATAAGACAACTCAGATCTGAAGCTACACAGTAATCTGCTGCAGCAACAGTGCAATAAAAAAGACAACATTAATAGAATCAAACCCATTTTTTGTTGCATTTTATTAGAGTATAAAAAGAAATGCCTTTAAAATAGGATGCAAGCAACACTAGTTTCTGAACTGATAGACTATAATCAATTTAAACAGAACAGATCTTAATGTTTGCATTCTTATACCATTTTGTACAATAATTATCATGAATAAATTCAAACAAACTAAAACTTACAGCAGATTAATAACGGTATCTAAATTGAGTTTTTATTATATCAAAAACCTGTTGAAATGCTGCTGTTATTTTTACTGTCCCACACAAGCGCGTCGCAGCCTCCAGGAAAGCTTCTTTCATAACTTCGCCGTCTTCGAAAGACTTCATGTGTTTCGCAAGAACGTGACTGACACGATAAGATGCTCTGGTAGCAGCCTTGCTCTTGTTGTTGGGCCTGGTGAAAATGGACTGCTGTGCATTTAGCTGTGCTCTCAGGCCCCTCCCCTTTTGGAGCGTAGGGCAGAATTAGGAGGGAATTCCGTCTCGCAGCGTTTGTGCACTGTTTTGAAATGCCGCTCCCTGCCGCATTGCAGATGAGACAGATGGACTTTGAATTGTAATAGATACAAAAATAATGATCCTCCCACTTGGAGTGAAAATTATATATTTTGGGCTTTTTTGCTTCTGCCATAATTGCGGTCTTGTGTGTGTGCGGACTGTCACTCCTGTTGACCATCCATGCTGTTGACACGGACAAAGTCAGCGAACTAGTGCACTGCTCACCAGCCACGCCCCGACACATGGGGTGAGGCTGGCCAATCACAAAGCTTTGATGCGTTCAAGTGCATTATTCTGGCACGGGAACATTATGTTACAGGACATTAACGATAAAACAGAATATTGTTGTTCTATTTTTAGACACATCTCGCGATCGACTGGGAATCTCCCCGCGACCCTTCTTTTTAACTAGTTGCTGCTCTTGTTCTGACATCTTCGCTTGCGCTGAACACTCACAACACATG